ATGTTGTTTACATCAAGAACATATGTTGGGATTCAAAGAGTTCGACTGATTTTTAAAATCAATCTTGGTTAGTTGTTTGGAATCGAATGTTTGTGATGTTGGAGTCAAAACTGACTTCGACTAATGAAGCATTAGAAGTGGACGGTGTTTACAAGAAGTAGAATGGATGAATGTTTACTTGATTTTGAAGTCAAACTCGAGATGGATGTTGTCGATCGACGGATTCAAAATGGGAGCATAGATAGTTTGGTTTGATACTTATGAAATGGAAAACGAAATGGGTTTATTTGAGTAGCGATGATCGATAGTTGGGTACGACCTGAGACTAATAAATCGATGGTTTGATATTGAGTCGCTGTTGATGAAAAACGAAGTTGCTGTTGATTTTGATTTGGTTGATTGTTTATGGTAAGCCAAGTCAGTGATATTGCATTTGATTTTGTGGTTGCTTGGATGTGGATAGTCGAAGATTTCGATGGTCGACGATTGATGACCACCAGTTGAAGAAATTCGATTTGGGGAAAAAGGGGTTGATGTTATTGATAACGAAGGTTTGGATGATTTTGATTTCGATGTATTTAGAATCGATGGATTGATTTTGAGGAAAGAATTTGGTGATGTTGAGTTGATGTTGACGCAAAGCGAGGTTTTCTTAAAGTCGATGGAACAAGCTTGCTAATGAAGTCTTGTATTCTTGATAGCGGAGGGCAGGATTTTTTCTGTTGATGTCAATGATTTTGGAAGATCTGTAATAACGAAATGTCGATTAAGTGTCGGAATGATTAAGAGGATACTGTTCACGGTTAAGGCTCGACATGCTTCGTTTTCGATATTCCGTTGATCAAGGAAAAATTTCGTTATCAATGGTGTCGACATTTCTGACTGAAAGTAACGAAGATTTTTTTGTCAATGTTTCGAAGGTTTTGGTGTCGACATTCTTTGGAACAAATGAATTGGGGAAGAAACCAACTAAGTTTCAAAATTGGTCCTTAAACTTTCGAAAGATTGACAGTTTGCACCCACTTTCGAAATAAGGACTAAAACTTTCGAATGTTTGAAGAAGTGTGCAGAAGTTTCGAAAGTAGCAACTGAAGTATCGAAATTTTGGCAGTTTATACCAAATTTTGAAAATGGGCTCATAAAAGCTGAGAAATTCAAGAATGTTTATTTCTGGTCCCTGCAGTTGGTGCGAACTTACACTTTACGCCCAGTTTCGCAAATGGGTTTTTCTTCTTGTCAGTTGGGCAAGTCTTCTAAACTTTCAGTGCATAAATCTACATTTAATAGTAATAAAATCTTGGATTTAGTATATTGTGATGTTTGGGGTCCTTCCCCCACAGTCTCTTTTGATGTTCATCGATTTTTTCTTTTATGTGTTGATCATTACACTTGGTACATGTGGTTTTACCCACTTGCACATAAGTCTGATGTTTACTCTACTTTTAAAAATTTCACTACCATGGTTGAACGACAATTCAATACCAAACTCAAAAGTGTACAAACCGATTGGGGAGGGGAATTTCGCCTTCTCACTTCTTTCTTCACAAACCTTGGCATTATTCACCGACGCTCTTGTCCCCACACCAGTGAACAAAATGGAATTGTTGAGCGTCGTCATCGTCATGTTGTGGAAACAGGACTTGCTCTTCTTGCCCAATCTTATCTTCCTCAACGTTTTTGGCACTTTGCTTTTGAAACTGCCGTTTATCTCATAAACCGTCTTCCTTCTAGAATCTCATCAAACAAATCTCCCTTTCAACTTGTCTATAACCGCAAACCGGACTATTCTTTTCTTCGTGTTTTCGGAGGCCAATGTTTTCCTTATCTTCGACCTTATAACCATCATAAAATTGATTTTCGCTCCACACCTTGTGTTTTTATTGGCTATAGCCCTATCCACCATGGTTATCGCTGCTTTGATCCTACAACCGAAAGAATATACATAGCCCGACATGTCCGGTTCAATGAACATGTCTTTCCTTTTCATGCTTCACCGCCACAACCAACCACCCCTTCTCAAAACCCTTATACATCTATCTTTCCTACACCGCCCCCAATCGAGGTCACTGATCCCGTTTTCACAAATCACTCCACCTCTACCAACACTACCTCACATTCATCTTCTTCTTACTCACCTCCTCCGCCCTCACCTCTTCCTCCTCCTCGACCTCGACCTCCTCATCTTCGTCAAAATCCCACTCGCACCTCTCGCTTCGATCCTTCTGTCTACATTTCAACCCGTGCTCCTTCCTCTCAAGTTGAACCCACTTCATTTACCGTTGCCCATAAATCTCCAGAGTGGCGTCTTGCCATGGATGAGGAGTTTCAAGCGCTTCAAAAGAATGCCACATGGTCTTTAGTTCCTTATGTTAAAAATACTAATCTTATTGATTGTAAGTGGGTGTACAGGTTAAAGAAGGATCCGCTGGGCAATGTTACTCGTCATAAAGCACGCCTAGTCGCCAAAGGATTTAATCAACAACCGGGTGTTGACTATCATGAAACATTCAGTCCTGTGATAAAATTAACCACCATTCGGATAATTTTGTCTCCTGCGGTGACTAATAGTTGGGTTATGCGCCAATTGGATGTGAAAAACGCGTTTTTACATGGTGATTTACAAGAAACTGTGTACATGAGACAACCTCCTGGCTTCATTGACTCAACCAAACTGAATCATGTTTGTCTTCTTCATAAATCTCTCTATAGGCTCAAGCAAGCTCCACGAGCGTGGTTTACCCGGTTGTCCACGACCCTAACTCAACTTGGTTTTTCAGGATCCAAAACCGATCCTTCGCTTTTCATTCTCAACTCTGGTGGACCTATCGTTTATGTTCTTGTTTATGTAGACGATATTATTATTACCGGTGACAACCCGACAGCCATTGATCGCGTTATACATCGTCTCAGCTCCACGTTTGCCATTAAAGATCTGGGTCCACTTTATTATTTCTTGGGTATTGAGGTTGTTCCTGACAAGAAGAATATTGTGCTATCTCAACGAAAATATGTCCTCGAGATACTTCAGCGTTCCGGCCTCTCTGATTGCAAACCAGCCTGCTCTCCGATGAGTCCCTCTCAACTCTTACATATTGATGATAACCCACCTCTTTCGGATCCTACAATATATCGACAAACTGTTGGCGCTTTGCAGTATGCTACTTTATCACGCCCGGATAATGCTTTTGCTGTGAATCGAGTTTGTCAGTTCATGCATGCACCAACATAAAACCATTGGTCTGCTGTTAAACGCATTTTGCGTTACTTAAAAGGCATAACCAATCTCGGTCTCTTGATTCGTCAACAATCCAGCAAACAACTACAGGCCTTCACAGATGCTCTTTGGAACGATTCTGCGTCCTCACTAGTTTAGGCTTACTCTGATTCTGACTGGGCTGGTTGTCCAGTCGACAGACGATCCACAGGGGGATTTGCCATCTATTTGGGATCTAATATTGTCTCCTGGACTGCTCGTAAACAAAAGACAGTTTCAAGGTCTTCAACTGAATCTGAGTACAAAGCCCTTGCTGATACCGTTGCGGAACTAATTTGGTTAAAATCCCTCTTGCATGAACTTGGCATATCGATTCCATCTCCTCCTACTCTTTGGTGTGACAATATAGGAGCCACATACCTATCAACCAATCTTGTGTTTCATGCTCGTACCAAACATGTCGAAGTAGATTTCCACTTTGTTCGTGAACAGGTAGCAAGAGGTCAACTACATGTCAAGTTCATATCTACGAATGATCAGATCGTAGATGTCTTTACAAAGCCTTTATCTACTCAGGGATTTCAGTTTTTACGATCCAAGTTGCAGAGTCGTTCCCCGCCCTCAATTTGCGGGGGAATGTTAGACTATGTAGTTATATTTATAATAAGTATAGGGTATTCAAATGTAAATATTAAACTATTTATATAGAGTTCGTATGTAATTGTTTTCAGCAAATCATAATACACAAATCATAATACACGGTCTGATTCTGACCATAACATGAAATTGCTTCATAACTTTCTGAAAATCTTCTTATAACACTCCAATCTATGATTGAACAGTTCCCATGTCATTTTGAACTGATGGTATCCTACATTGTTAGTGATTAGCGTTAGACTAATAACCATTAGGCCGCGTTTGGTGAGAAGAACTCAATGGGACTGGACTGGACCAATTTTTTTAGAAGGCTTTTGGCACAACTGGGAGAAGAACAAAGTGAAGATTTGACCAAGTCCAATGGGCTAATTGAGGAAATTTTAGTCCCATCTTATCGAACCCACTTTGAACACCCCCCCCCCCTCTCGTCCCTGTCTTCACCCTCTAACCACTGCCACACACCCGTCTAAATCGAGAGCCGAGCCCCTGTACAATCGCCGTCGTCGGTGAGTGGCGGTGAAAATGATGATTTTTTTAGGGAAGACGAGGAGGAAGCGAGGTGAAAGGTTAAGGTGGGGGAAGGGCCTACTCATCATGTTAGGGTTATTGCAATTTCAAATTCACTGAAGCAGGTTTCAATGTCGGCTACTGTGATCTCTAGCAATGGCTCTCAATTGGCTGTTTACCAGAAATTTATAGAATCGATCGGTGGAAATGGCAAGGTGGTCATTACCACTGACCAGTAAACAAAGGTATGATATCTCGATTTTGTTTTGTTTTAGTTAATAAATATTTCGATTTTGTAAGTAATTGCAAAAAAATTTAATAGACCGATTATGTTCTATGTGAATGGAGACTTTGGAACTTTGTTGAAAAGTCAGCAAATGTCGGATGTCATAAATGTTTAGTTAAAGGAGATTTATGCAACTAATATTCATACATATTCATTTCATCACTTATCAAATGTTTTCCAAGCAAAGCTAAGCAAACCAAACCTAACAGGAAGTTTAATATTGTGAGTGTCTCTACAAAGCCACCATTTGCTACTAAGATGGAATGTTGGGCTTGTAGTAAGCATAAATCATTGCTATATTCGTTGTTGATGTTGATGATGATACATATTCTTATTATGGAGCAAACACAAGGTGCTTGTATAGAAGAGGAGAGAAAAGCACTACTTGAAATCAAAGCCTCCCATATGAAGTCATATGATTCCGAAATGGACAATTTTCTCCCTACCTGGGTTGATTATGACAACAGTACCACTGGGGATGGTGGCAGCAACTGCTGTGATTGGGAGAGGATCAACTGCAGCACAACAACGGGGCATGTGACAGACCTCTCTTTTTACTATTTGAGAGGGATGATAGGTGATAATATGGAGTTTGGGAGCAAGCTGTGGCCATTGAATGTTTCCTTGTTTCTTCATTTTAAAGAGTTGACAAGTCTCAATTTGTCACAGAATTTTCTTGATAAAGAATTTATGAAGACAGGTACAACACGATTAATTCCTTTAATTAGTATTTCTTTCACCTTGTTCCAACATCATATTTTTTTGAGCAAAACATTTAAGTAAGCCGACTCTATTTAAATTCATGAACACAACATCCAACTAATTTATGCACTCAAAGACGCTTCTTAGGTAACTTAGTAGTTGGATAATATTTTTCTATATATAAAAGACCAAACACAAGACTTTATGTATACTTCAGATCCTGCAATTCATGCTACAACTTTTTAGTATTTAGCAATTGTGCTCAAAAAGTTGCCTTTTCAATATCAAAAGACTAGAATGCCCATGTTAAAGAATTCTCTTTTTGCAGGACTTGAAAGGTTGTCGGGTTTGAAGAAGTTGGAGGTTTTGGACCTCAGTTTCAATGATGATATTGATAACGACATCCTTCCATCATTGAGGACACTCACTTCACTCAAAGTCTTGGATCTTAGCCACACTAAATTGAATGGGAACTTCTCTATCAGTGGCACGTTTCCGTCTTTTATTGCTTTTTTAAGTTGTCATGCACAAATGCCTGTTTTAAAGATTCTTGCGCCCTTATCAAATGATTTGCAGAATTTGCTGCTTTAGAGAACTTAGAGATGTTGGATCTACACTATTGTAGCTTCAATGGTACCTTGGAGATTCAAGGTAATCAATATCATCATAAAACCATCATGCCAATATAGTCTCCTTGGATTCATACACAAATCCCCCTTTTGCGACATTACAAGACCATAGCATAATGAGTCTGAATCATGTCTTGAAATTTTAAAGCATTACTTTCTTTTCTTTGAAGAAAGAAAACCTTAATTATCTGTGGTAGAGATACTACTACTACTACTACTACTGCAATACACTACAATCAAGTCGCTTGGTCAGATATAACAATAATTCTTTTAAGGGAAGCATTACAATATTAAAAAAATGGATATAAATATGTATACTTGTATACTCCTAAACAGCTTTGTCGCTGTATCAAACTAGCTAGAGCTTATAAATTCTATTGCTTCAATTCCTAAATGTAGGTTCTGAGAGGGTTTCCGTATTGAGGAAGTTGAAAACTTTAAATCTTGCGGGCAACTGGTTTGATGAAAGCATCATAACATCTTTAAATGCCCTTTCATCGCTTACAAGCTTGGATCTTAGCAGAAATCGAATGTCGGGACAATTTCCAGCTCAAGGTACCTGCTATGACTGTATATACTTCTTTCCAAAGTTGTTTGAGTATATCATTAATTGATTTTATCTTGTTTCCAGTTTAGTGTGATGCATGGGAACATATATTTATAGAGTGTTTGTGGATGTTGTCATGTCTATGTGTGATCTTCACTCATTGAGGTGTACAAGTGTTTCAGTTGCATTAGTTTAGTTAACAGAGACACAATAGGTGAAACTGAGGCGGGCTTTTGTTTATGTTTCAAACTAGTGGCACCGATATGAAAGTTCTTGCAGAAAGAGCAACAAAGTCCAAGAAACTCAGTATACATGTCTTAATGTATATGGGATTGTAGTTATTATTTATTATCTAACAGATGACAAAATCATTATCCTGTGGGTCAAAGAGATCATCCACTCAAGGGCCAGGGGCTGTCTACATCTTACTTCTTACCTTCCATTTACCCCATTCATATGAGACGTGGGTATTGATAGATATAAAATAATTTTTCATAGTCATGTTTAAGATCATATTTATGGTATATTGATTTCACTAACTCTATTATCTATTAAATGTGCATTTAAAAATACTTAACCGGATGTTGACTAAACATATTTAATGCACAAGTTGATGATAAAATCATTCCTGTATCTTATACAATGTTTTTTTATAGTTACTTTTATAGCCTTTTCAGTTTTATATGCTTTATGAAATTATAAAATAAAATATATTGTTTTATGTTTATGATGTCAAATAGGCATTTACTTTTTATAACTTGGCTAAAGTAGGGGCAACATCAGGGCCGAGTACTTGGAACCGGTCTGGACCCAAACTGATCTCATGGAGGATTGGACCGGTTCCAAATATTTTGACCTGATTGGAGTTAATTTGGGGGTTGTTAGTCTAATAACATGTTACTTTGGGGCTGATATTTAAATGTAAAATGTTTATGTAAACTTGTAATGGCTGTAGTCATAGGTCTAACTAGATACAATTAGTAAAAAAGGTGCTTCAGAGTTGGAGGTATTAGACCCCACTTGGCTCTGTCATTGAAGACACTCACTTCAGTCAAAATCTTGGATGTCAGTAACAGTAGCTTGAATGGATAATTCCCTAGTTTAGTTAACAAATGCCTGTTTTAAAGATACTTGCACACTTTTCAAATGAATTGCAGAATTTGCTGCTTTAGAGAACTTGGAGATGTTGGATCTAAGTGATTGTGGCTTCAATGGTACCTTTGATATTCAAGGTAATCAATGTCATTTTAAACCCATCATGCCAATATAATCACCTTGGATTCATACACATATCCCCCTTTTGCAACATCACAAGACCATGACAGAAGAACTCTAACATGTGTTGAAGTTTGAAATATGACCTTTTTCTTTTCTTGGGAGAGAAAATTTTCAAGTACAACTTAATTCTTGTAATGTAAGCATAACAATATTAAAAATGGATACAAATATATACTGGTATATGTTTTCCTAAACAGATTTGTTGTTGTATCAAACTAGAGCTTATAAATTAGATTGCTTGAATTCCTAAATGTAGGTTCTGAGAGGGTTTTCATATTGAGGAAGTTGAAAACTTTAAATCTTTGGCGCGGCAGATTTAATGAAAGCATCATAAGATCTTTAAATACCCTTTCATCACTTACAAGCTTGGATCTTAGCGGCAATCCAATGTCAGGACCATTTCCAGCTCAAGGTACCGGCATTTCAAAATATTACACTCTAAATAAGGCTAAATAGTTATAATGATGTAGAAACACTAATGAACAAAAAATGCTCCAAAACTAACTTCAAAATGTACATCTGAAAATAGCTAGCATGCATAATACATGATATATGTTTTTCTTTCGTATGACAGAATTATCACTTCTCATTAACCTGGAGGAGCTGGATTTAAGCTATACTTGGCTTGATGGCACACCCAATATCCAAGTTAAATGAATAAATAGCTTCTTTTAGGCCTGGTGCTTGTGAATAGTTCAAAAGATAATGTTGTTTATCATAATTCTTCCATAATTACAAACTTTATAAGATGTTGGTTTCTCCAAGGATTCTCTTTTTTCTACGGCATGTAAGAGCTTTCCCCAGCCATGGTACTTGTGAATGGTGATAAAATTCTTGAATGCTAATGAAGCCTAAAATGATTACAAACTTTACAAGACCATTCATAGTTTCTCTAAGAATTGCATTCCTTTTTACAGCTTGTAAGAGCTTATCGGGATTGAAAAGGCTGAAGAGTATAAAACTTTCTGGTAACAAGTTCAACAAGAGCATCATATCGTGCCTAAGTGTCCTCCCATCCCTCAAGATTCTTCATCTTTCAGTTTCTTTTTCATGGGGAAGTTCCTTTCCCGTCCAAGGCATGTTCATCCTAAAAGAGTTATCAATAAACAAATTAAATACATATATTATTTATTAATTTCCATTTTTGCTAATTTTTTTATCAAACTGATTGACACGTCTCTCTCTATCTAATTCAGAATTCCTTAATTTGTCTGATTTGGAAGTCCTCCTCTTGAGCGGTAATTATTTCAATGGAACGATACCAATGGAAGGTAAGGTTCTTTTGTCGTTATTTAATTAACATAATTATTATTGCAATCATACGTGACTTGTAATACATATGTAACCCTCTTTTAATTTGATGTCATCCAGCTTTTGCATCTTTCCACCGTTTGGAGGTCTTAGATTTGAGTCGAAACAGTTTTGTTGGCAGCATCCCGTCAGCAATACAGGCATTAGCTTCCCTAAGAGCTCTCTCATTTTCTGAAAATAATCTTGATGGCTCATTATCAGATCATGGTAAGTTATCTAAAGCATGATTCCCGTTGCATTGTTGTTTTGTAACCTTACTTTTCCTCGATGGTTAATCTTTTTGAAGCCGTATGAACATACAAATGCAAGCCATATCATATATTTCTTGAAGGTTAATCTTTTGTAACTTAAGTTTCATGGCTTAGGCAGAACATTTTTTTTGTCGTTTGACAGGGTTGTGTGAGTTGAAGAACCTCCATGAGTTGGATCTGAGCAACAACATGCTCCATGGAACTCTGCCTGATTGTTTGAAAAATCTGTCATCTCTTAGGTTTTTGGATATTTCTTCAAATCGATTCACGGGAATACTTCCGTCATCACTCATTGTTAATCTTACATCTCTCGAGTACATTGATTTTAGTCATAACGTATTTGAAGGTTCATTCTCCTTCAGCTCCTTCTCCAATCATATAAAGCTTCAATTCGTTCGATTCAGAAGCGACAATGACAAGTTTGAGGTGGAAACAGAAGAGCCTATAGGTTGGATTCCAATGTTTCAGTTGGAAATTCTTGAGCTATCTAACTGTAATATGAAAATGCCTAAAGGACGTGTTATTCCTGGGTTTCTACTTCACCAGCACAAGTTACGATAACTAGACATGTCACAGAACTCCTTGGAGGGACACTTCCCAAATTGGTTGGTTAAAAACAACACGTATCTGGAACGTCTTGTTCTAAGGAACAACTTGTTTGTCGGCATGCCTTTGTATAGGAATGCTAATATGAGGTGGTTGGATATGTCTGGAAATGGAATGATAGGTACTATTCCCGATGATTTACCAAAGTTCTTTCCCAACATAAAGTATTTGAATTTGTCCATGAATAGTTTAAGTGGTGTTATCCCTTCCTCTGTTGGTGAATTGAGTGAATTATGGATATTGGGTCTATCTGATAATGAGTTATCTGGAGAAGTACCAAAGGGGTTGTTTACAAACATATCTGGGTTGTTTTTCTTAAAACTGTCAAAGAACAAGTTGCACGGCCAGGTACTCTCAGGAAACTTAACCTGGGGCAGCCTCTATTTGGTTTACTTAGATAGCAACCATTTCACAGGGGAAATTGGAATTAAGAGCAGCAAGGAAAAGCACAACTCTCTGATTACTCTGGATATTAGCAATAACTTGTTTACAGGCATCATCCCTGATTGGATAGGCAACATGAGTAGCTTGTCTGAATTTGTGGTGAGAAATAATAGTTTTGAAGGCAGGTTTCCTTGTGGAGCATCTCCATTTTCATTTCTTGATATTTCACAAAATTCTTTCTCCGGACCCATCCCGTCCTGTTTGAATTTGCAAAATATGAAGCATCTTCTTTTGGGTTCCAACAAATTCATTGGATCAATACCCAAATCCTTTCGTAATTTGACTCAGGTTTTGACTTTGGACATTGGCAACAACTACTTGTCAGGCAGGATTCCGGAATTTCTTGGTGAATTATCCAATTTAAGGATTCTTCTTTTAAGAAAAAATAACTTGAGTGGTTCCATTCCAATGCAGTTGTGTCAATTAAGTAATGTTAGTTTGATAGACTTATCCGGTAACTCACTTTCTGGTTCAGTACCTAGCTGCCTTCAAAATATTACCGGCCCAACTCACCTTGCTTTCCTAAAAGGTATCCTAATGACGTATTTACTTGGTTCCTCTTACAGCTATGGGGGTAATTGTTAGGAATCGGACCGGGTACACGCAGCGGAAACACTATCACACACAATCACACGAAGGAAATAAAGCAAGAAGGAACACAAGGATTTTACGTGGTTCGGATTCGGTGTAAATCCTACGTCCACGGGCGCAACTAGATTTTATATTAACTCACTATAAGATTACAAATGGTAATATCACTCGGCACAAATCCAAAGAGTTACATCGCACATATATATACTGAGAGAGGAGCCGTTTTGTTTGACCAGCCACCATTTGAATTTTCTTCCATTCACATGTTACGGCCGAAACAAAATTGCACATGGATTCCATTAAACAATTAATACTTTTGCCGTCCACTCACCGTCCAATAAACAAATATTAAACGATTCAATTGTTTAATTTGTCAAGTTACATTTATGGCCCTTGAACTCTTAGGAACTTGTCAATTTGATCATGACTCCATAAATCTTAACAATCTCCCACTTGGAGACTTGAACAAATTAGTCTTTCTTCGCCATCCAACTCTCAATTACTCCAGAAATCTTAAAAAAAACAACCAAGTCCTTCAAGCTTCCAGTTCCAAAGAACAAGCTAAAACTTAGTCTGATTTCTCTAGTTGCAGCCGCCCCTCATCATCAATTTCTAGAAGGGCCAGTTGAAGCTCCCACTAGCTCCAACTCAGCCGTGGCTAATCCCGCCACCAACTCATCATCTGTCTCAACCGGTTTGGACACTCCACCAGATCCAGAGATACACCGAGGACCACTAACACTCTCCAAACTTTGCAAACTTCCAACAAGAGAGAATTTTCCAGTCTTAGTCTTCAAAACCCAACGACTCTTTGTAACTGTACCCGAAACACGTCCCGTGCTCCCACTGTCACAGAATCCCCTGAATGGTTTAGACTTTCGAACTCGTTCAGCTAACATCTCTTTGGCTCTAGAATTCATGTTTGCAAAATGAACTCTCTTAGCCGTAGATTTAGCGAACCAGATTTTGTCTTGCTTAACAGGGACGGTCATACTTCCCTCAGCAGGTACCTCAACCATATATAATGACCCACACTTCAAACCTTGAGCAATCACCGAATTACCATTGACCACCATCCATTTACCACCACCAAACCTTACTTCCAATCCTTGTTTATCCAGCTGACCAACATAAATCAATTTCTTTTTCAGCTCCGGAATCACCTTGATATTTTTCAGGTTCCATGTAGTTTCCAATGAAGTAACCAGATCAATATCTCCCATGCCCGTTACCTGAAGCATCTCGTCATTTGCCAACCGTACCTTTCCAAAATCTTCTTCTTTTAGATTCACCATCGTTTCCCCGTTGTCCATGGATTGAAACGAAGCCCCTGAATCCATGACCCAAGAGTCCACAGAACTTTCCATACTGAGTAACAATGCATCATCCCCAGAAAAATTCTCAGCATCAGCAATGTTCAATTCTTTCTTTGGACATTGACTCTTAACATGTCCCACTTCTTGACAGTTCCAGCATTTCACATTCTTCAAAGTTCTAGAAGAACTTTTTCCCCGACTCCCACTGCTCCTGCTATTCCCTCTACCTCTTCCGACATTTAATAAATCAGAAGAGGAAGATCCACCTTGATTCTTGCGTCTGATATCCTCGCCTAGAACCAAATCTCTAACCCCTTCAAAAGTCATACCACTGGTCCCCACGGAACTCGTAACAGCAGTAACTGTTCCGGACCAGCTATCAGGTAGAGAAGCTAGTAGCAGTGAAGCTTGAGTCTCATTATCAAATTTAATTCCCACAGATGATAATCTGGACATAATTGAATTTAGATTATTAATGTGAACCGTAACTGAGCCTTCCTCATTCATCCTTGTAGTGAACAGCTCCTTCATCAAGAACACCTTGTTAGCCGCCGATGGTTTCTCATACATATTTGACAGAGCCTCCATCATACCACGCGCCGTGGTTTCATTCATGATGTTGAAAGCAACGCTCTTCGTCAATGACAATGTAATAACCGCCTTGGCTTTCTTGTCCTTTGAGTTCCACGCATCTTCAAAAGCTTTTTCCATTTTCTCCGGTTTGTCTCCGAGTACCATGTCCAAGTCTTTCTGACATAGCAATGCTTCTAATTGCATTTTCCACCAGCTAAAATCAGAACCGTTGAACTTTTCGATTACAACCTTGTCTTCAGCCATTATGACAAACAAGAGACAAATCAGGTACACTCGTGCGTGATAAAAAAAACGACCGTACCCTCCAAACCTTGCTAACCTGGCTCTGATACCAGTTGTTAGGAATCGGACCGGGTACACGCAGCGGAAACACTATCACACACACAAACACACGAAGGAAATAAAGCAAGAAGGAACACAAGGATTTTACGTGGTTCGGATTCGGTGTAAATCCTACGTCCACGGGCGCAACTAGATTTTATATTAACTCATTATAAGATTACAAATGGTAATATCACTCGGCACAAATACAAAGAGTTACATCGCACATATATATACTGAGAGAGGAGCCGTTTTGTTTGACCAGCCACCATTTGAATTTTCTTCCATTCACATGTTACGGCCGAAACAAAATTGCACATGGATTCCATTAAACAATTAATACTTTTGCCGTCCACTCACCGTCCAATAAACAAATATTAAACAATTCAATTATTTAATTTGTCAAGTTACATTTATGGCCCTTGAACTCTTAGAAACTTGTCAATTTGTTCATGACTCCATAAATCTTAACAGTAATCTGGGGTCACAATATACTGTCGACCTTGATTACATGGCATTGGAAACAGAAGATGAAGTTCAATACACAACAAAAAGGCTTTTTCTCAGCTACAAGGGTGACATCCTTGATTACATGGCAGGATTGGATTTTTCATGTAACAAGCTTACATGTGAAATCCCACAAGAATTGGGATTCTTAACCCAACTTCGTGCTTTAAACCTGTCTCACAATAACCTGACCGGACCTATTCCTGTGAGCTTCTCAAATCTTGCAAAAATAGAAAGCTTGGACCTTTCTTCAAATGGTTTGACCGGAAATGTTCCATCACAACTCATTAAACTTACTTCTCTATCTACTTTCAATGTTTCTCATAACAATCTCTCAGGCAGACTCCTAGAAATGCAAGCACAATTTGGTACCTTCACAGAGGCAAGCTATGAAGGGAATCCACTTCTTTGTGGACCCCTACTCGTGAAGAAATGCACGACTACTAATTCACAGGTGACCAATCCATCAGATGAAGAAGAAGACAATGAGAAATGGTATGATATCGATATGGCATGCTTCTACGAAAGTTCTAGTTCCACATGTTTTGTGTTGTTATTGGGATTTGTTGCAATTCTTTACACCAATCCTTGGTGGCGTAGAAGGTGGCTAGACTGGGTTGAAGATTATATGTTTACATGTTATTACTTTCTTTATGTTCTAGTGAGGAAGCCTTCTCCGACCATCCATAAGTAGGTGTAGGCCTCCTTTATTGAAAATTTCCTACTATATGTGTTTGTGCTTCACTTTCAGTTATGTTTCTATTGTATAATCTGCTGGTTTTGGGTTTCTCTTATATTTTTGTTGAATCCACTAACTTTGAGAGAATTAATGAAGATGTCACTACCCATCCTTAGTTCTAGAATAGGCTAATAGCTTTAACTTGGTTTAATTTCCATGAGTCGAAAAATATTTAAGATACATATTCATTACTATAACAATTAGAAACCAAACACCTATAAAATTAAGCATGCTGCATTCAGTTCTTTGTATGTTTCTTGCTCAATAAAACTAAGAACATCATAAGCAAGGATACGAAGAATCAAGAAAGTGAATTTTAAAAACGGAATTCATAATTTAAAGCGACAAATCTGTCGAGTCAAATGGAAATCATAAGCAGCTGGTTTGTACTGTACCTAGTGTTGTTGTCTGCTGGTCTCACCACTGGGTTACCCAATAAGTCTGCCTGCAACTTCACTTAAGCACATAATTAAGCTCTACAAAAACTATTGACAAATTAGACAACCAAGAACACAGGATCAGGAACAAGTAAACAGCACAGGTGGAGTCAACTTGTGCAACCAACTCATCGATTTAACTGGAGGAACAAATGATTCCAAGACTCGCCCTGTGCCATTGCACTTTGCAGGGGAATCTTTCCCGAGCTTGAAAGCTAAAGTGTTCAAAAAGCCATGTTTTAACTGAATTATTTCTTCACCTGTTTGAGAAGTATATAAGCACTTGTTCGTAAGTGTTTTCGCCTCTCCTTTCGAACAAGATTGACCCAACATTGCTGCATGTTGAGCCCCTAAACGTTGGGAAATTGGGATTCCAGGAATCAGCCATCCTTTAATTTCCTACGTGACCACTAACCTTGAAATTGCTTACAATTTCTAGTAGAATGGTTTTTGTAGAATCTTTAATTAATGTTTCTAATGTTGATTCGTCCCAATTAATTAAGTGTTTTCAAATTCATAAGCATGGTTTTTGATGCATTTGAGATATTGGTGACGTGTAAACCATTATCATACACCCACTTAAATTCGAGAACCTGCAGGAGGTAATCGTTCCAAGATGTATACATCACCCTTCTCAACAGCTGCTTTCACAGCATCCATATTTTCCCCGAAGACAAAAGAGATGTAGTACCCCAACATATGTGATTATAGGCAAACCTATAAAATAAAGAATTTAAAGATAGAGTAAAGCATATACATGTGATGAATGTAGTAAATAATTTTGCTTTATAAATCTACTCTAATAAATGAAGGTTTTTTTTGTCATATATCACCCTCTCATTCAATTTGCCAAATGTCATTTTGTGGTTATTTTGAATTAATTTATTTTTCCACATGTCATTTTATGGGTTTTCTATTTTAATAAATTCCATATAATACTTTAATGTAATAATTACAATAAATTTAGTATAAATGAATATCAATTTCATTAATATCTGGACTTACCTTCTTATTTCAAAATTTTCAAATTAAATCCCATTAGTTTATTTTGTTTATATATTTAAATTTAAAAGATAAAAATGAATTTTAATAATTTATTATTTTTCTTATTTTTTTATAAATCCAAAGTTCTTAAATATTTAGACATTTATATTTAATTTTTTTAATTAACCCATATAATACATGAGTCTTACACCTAGTTATAAATATACATGTGATGAATGTATTAAAGAAGCTTACTTTTATTGCTCAAACATCTACATCCTCTTAAAGCAAGTTCACCTCTTTTTGTTGAAAATAAATCAATTTCATACATTTTGCATCCATACTATACAAATGCATCAAACTTAAAAGCTTTGCAAATAATGCATGAGTTACTTGGGTTTATTCAAATAAATTAGACTACAATTTTAGGCTGTGTTTTGGCGCGCCACAGCAAGCTTATTTTTCGAGCTTTTTTAAGTTGTCATGTCTGACAAACCAAAAAGTAGCTTGTAAGCTAGCTTTTTAAAAAGATATTCAGACTAGCTTTTTAGGAGTTTTTTTTTTTAAATTTTTTTTCTAAATATACCCCTTAATTAATTATAAAAACACATTCTTTTAAATGTCCTTTTAAGTCATTTTATATTTTTCAGCTAGTTTTACTAACGACATTATTTATCAGCTAGTTTTATCAAACGACATTTTTTATCAGCTTGCTTTTCAGCTATCAGTTAACTTTTTATTTAACAGCTACTTTTTCAACTATCAGCTAACAACTAGTTTTTCAACCCGTACGCCAAACATAGCCTTAATGATATAATTTCGTAATAAACTTTAATAAGTTAAAACTTTGTAGTGTAAAAATTAGGGGTTCTTAAACACCCCGCTCCCGAGTTGAAGCAAAGAAAAGAGAAGAGAAAAGAAAGGAAAACAAATTTGTCTTTTTTGCTCCCAAGTTGGAGAGAAATGGAAGGAAAGTTAAACATTTTATTCTTTCTTTTCAAATCCTCCCAAATCGAAAGGAAAGATAGGAGGGAAAGTGATCCTTCCATTTTCTTCCTTTAATGAAACTCGGAAGCATCAATCTTTCTTACTTTCCTCTCATTTCCTTTCTTTTCTTTCCTTAAGTTGAACTGTAGAGCGTGAAAGAGTTGTTAAATAAGCACTTGTGCTTAGTTTTTACATTTTTCCCCCGAACTCTGTATTCCTTTTCTCTTTTCCAATCAAGTCCGTTGTTCAATCTCTCTCTCTCTCTCTGATGTTAATTCTTCTACAGTCGTTTCCCCAAGTCCAACAACATGGTATAGAGCCATTTGAGAGGGGATTTCAATCAAACAATGATTCAACGGTGAGGTTCTTGGCTGGGCTTCTAAAGTGGGTGAAGGAAACAGTCGGGTGACAGATTCGATTTCTATTTCTATTTCACAAAATGATTATCGATTAAGAAGACTGCAGAAACTCAAGTACAGTGTGCGATTTCTATGGCTTCTTCGAAATTCAATTGGGCGATTAAAGACAAGTCAAATTTTGTTTTTTTTTTCTCCTTTAAATTGCCTACGTTTTATAGTTGTTGTGTGTATGGAATCCCTCTACGAACTGCTTCTGTATAGAGGTGGAGTTTTCATTGTGGCAGACCAAGCGTTTGATTAAAGTCCTCAAAGAACTCTAACTGTGTTTTTTGATCAAGAATAGTGGCTGATGATCATTATATACACGACCAGGTATCTAGAAAACCCCAAGCCGTGTATAAATAATAGCACATCAATTTAGGGGACAAGACACACAGCTGTATCAGACACTTCATCTAGCCCTGGGGAGAAAAGATACGGTTGTAGGTGTGAGTTTCCTAATCCGTGGAAAAGAAACATTAGGAAGAATAAAGTGTTTTGGCAAGCATAAAATTCTGTTAATCTGAAATAGAAATGGTTCACGATTAATGGGACTTTTTTCAGATAAATCACTAAAACTAAAACCCTGATGGTCTTTGAATAACGAAGAATATTTCAATTTCAGGACTCTTTTCTGTTTTCTGTTGCATCAAAGTTCTGTCGACCTGAAATCGTATGTTGGTTGGTGTTTAAGGTGTAAAAGATGAAAGCAACACCAAATTTCAAGTCCTCCCACCATTTTGGCTGTGTTTGAACTTCTTTTTCCTTCTTTTTAATTAACTGAAAAAAAAATGTCAATAGGGAAAATATATTCTATGCAAATGAAAACCTGGAAGTTCGTACAAAAGTCAACAAATGTCTTGTCATAAGCTTTTGTGAGTGTAGCAATTATCATAATTTCAAAGGGATATGCTGGAAGGAGTGGGTGAATTGAATATAAAAATGTGTGGAAGTTTTGACCATTCACTTGATCACTTACGTTTGAAACTTAACCACTGACCTGATGAGAGAATTATGCAATTAAATATTTGTTTCAATATATCACATGCTTTACTTGCCTGATCATTTCATATCTATTCATATACCAAGTAAACCAAACCAAACCAGATGTTTAATTAACACTGTGAGTGTTTCAAAAAAGCCTTCATTAGCTTACTAAAATGGAGTGTTGGTGTTTGAGTAAGCGCAAACCATGGTTATATTGGTTGCTGATGATACAGATGCTTATGGTCGTCTGGAAAATACAAGGGGAATGTATAGAAGAGGAGAGAAAGGCACTACTGGAAATCAAATATTCCTATATCAAGTTATACAATTCCAAAATGGACAATTTTCTCCCCACCTGGGTTGATTATGGCAGTAGTACCCCTAGGGATGGTGGCGGTGACTGTTGTGAGTGGGAGAGGGTAAATTGCAACGCAACCACCGGGCATGTAACAGACCTCTCTTTTTACTATTTGAGAGGGATGATAGGCGATAACATGGAGTTTGGGAGCAAGTTGTGGCCACTGAATGTTTCCTTGTTTCTTCATTTTAAAGAGTTGAGAAGTCTAAATTTGTCATATGATTATCTTGATGAAGAGATTATGAAGACAGGTGCAACATGATTAATTGCTTTAGTATTTCTTTCACCTTGTTCCAACATAATATTTTTGAGCAAGGAATTTGAGTAGATTGATTCTATTCAAATTCATGGACACAACATCCAACTAATTTATGCAGTAAAAGATGCTTTTTAGATAACTTAGTAGTTGGATAATATTTTTTCCATATATAAATGAACAAACACAAGACTTTATGCGTACTTGAGATCCTGCAATTTATGCCACAACTTGTTAAAAGCTTTTCTTTTTTGCAGAACTTGAAAGGTTGTCAAGTTTGAAGAAGTTGGAGGTACTAGACCTTAGTGGGAATCGTGATATCGATAACGACATCATTCCATCATTAAAGACACTCACTTCACTCAAAGTCTTGGATCTTAGCGACACTAGCTTGAATGGAAACTTCCCTACCAATGGTAGGTTTGTGTCTTTTTCGTTTCTTCTTTTTAAGGTTAACATGCATAAATGCATCTTTTTCGTTTTTCTTTTTCCTAATTGATTTTGATGCAACTACAATGAACAACACACTCCAAACAGGAAAGAAAACACAATTCAAGGAGGCAATTTTGATACAGAGCAACTCTGCTCAAACAAATATTACTTTTATCAAAAAAAATCTCCCCTTTCAAACGTAGGCTTCAAGAAATACTTATAGTCTAGTAAACATATAAAATTGGCAATAGAATATTGGCCACATAAAGACGAACGATTTTAAGAAAAAGAAACAGCAAGATAATATATTAATAAAATAAAATAAAATCCTTCCAAAACTTATTTAGTATCCATGCCTTTCTTGACACCAGATTTGCTCTCCCATCCTCTAAATCAAAACCTTTCCCGTCATTTTCACCCTCATTGCTCTTGATCACACAGAAACGATTATAATCTCGCTCAACCATGTCATCTTTGAACACTGATTTACCTTTTGATTCATCTTCTTTATTCTTCTATTTTTGATTGACTATTTAATTTCATAGAGATTTGTTTAATCTGCTGACCATAACATCCAATTGATTCATAACTTTTTGAAAATCTTCTTATAACGCCCCAATCTCCGATCAAACAGTTCCCATGTCATTTTGAACTAATGATTTCCTCCCTTATTAGTGATTAGGGTTAGGCTAATACCCATTAAGGTTTAGGTTAGGCGAAAAGCCATTTCGTATTTCTATTTATATGATGTTAAATTCTCAATATAATAACACGTTATTATCTATCATGGTATCAAAGCTCTAGGTTAAAATCCTACTTTTGACAACAACCCACAACCGCCACCCTCTACCTTTGACAACCTTCTCTAATATTTGTCAAAGGTGGCTTCATTGTGCTCAATATGGTTCCCTTTCTTCTTTCTCCTCTTAAATGATAATATAGCCACCGACACCAGAGCTCATTCATCGGCTTCTTCTACTATTTCGTCTGCTTATACTTCCTCCTCGGCCGACCTTTTCTTCTCCAAATTCCTTTGTCGAGTCAACCTCTTCCGATGCAACTGCTCTCTCTCTCTCTCTCTCTCTCTCTCTCTCTCTCTCTCTCTCTCTCTCTCTCTCTCTCTCTCTCTTCGCCGGAATCGGCTCCGTCCGCTAAAGGTCAATCCCTCTTTCTTTCTCCTTTCCTTTCTTGGACTCCTCTGCCACCGACTCCATGATCGTCTTCATCGCCGCTCCCCTCTTCTTCTACAACGGAACCACCTCTGTTCGTCGTTTCTTCTCAACTAACGGTCATATTTAGCCGTCTTCATCAAAGCCTCCGATGCCGCTATCTTCATCTATGTTTTTTTAGGTTTTGTTCTTTGTTTATTTCTCCAGTTTAATCGTATCCTCCCATTCAAACCGCGGTGGATGTTAGCGATTTGGGTTAGGCTAATACCCATTAAGGTTTATGTAAGGCCAAAATCCCATTTTGGATTCCTATTTATATGAGGTTAAATCCTTATTATAATAAAACAAGTTATTATCTATCATCCATCTCATCGATTCTCGATGTTCTGTTCACTGATTTCCGAAATTGATTCAAGATGGTGGATTGAACACTCTCTGATGCCATTCGATTGTATACGTGTATACTGGTATTTAGAAATGAAAGATTGAACTGGAAATCGAATGATTACTAGAACTAACGGGTATTCGGGAGACCTGAGCTTTCACTCTAGTGATTTTGTTCCAAGATGCTAACCAACCCGGACATCTCCTATTTAAAGGCTAACAACACCGACCTAACCTAACTGGCTAAAAGACCTTATTGCCCTACCACCTCACTAATTCCACTTATGTTAGGATCGAGACACTTAACACACGACTCTAAACACACACACAACTCACGAAAAACAAGAACACAAGGATGAACACAAGGGATTTAACGTGGTTCGGTCCTTCTCTGACCTACGTCCACCGGTAACTAGGAATTTATATTTCTTGGTGCTAATCTGCACTTTTTCTGTGTTACTCTAGATACAAGTTTTACAAATACAGATGAATCTCTTATATAGAGATGGAAATCAGAAATAGTCAAAAAACACAACCGGGTCTTCAGCCAACCTTTGAAAAAACTTCACATTCAACAATTGTGGCTTCACATTCAACAATTGTGGCTTCACATTCAACAATCTCCCACTTGAAGCCACGGAACAATCTTCACCTGTGCTTCAACTGTGCATCTGTATTTTAAAAAATTTGATCTTAACTCCTTCCTAGTTACCCGGCCTTCTCTTCAATTTACCTGTTCTCTGTCTCCACCGGCTCCCACTGAAATGAACTGCCCGATCCTGGAACATCCTGAGAACAAACGACACTCTCCATGTGAAGCAGATAATCTGGAGAGACTTTTACAGATGGAATACTGGTTCTCTTAACCCACTGTGTTCTGGGTATTCTAGCTGAAACAAAGCCCATGCTCCCACTGCTATGAATGTCCTTGACTGGTTTTTCTGAACCGTTCCAAACACGTTCAACCTGAATCTGACCTGTGACTCTGGGTTTGCCATCTGCAAAGCAAACCTTCTTCTGTCCACGAGACTCTATGAACCGGATTTTGTTTTTCTTCTGAACTGGGACGGTTACTCCCTCAGACGGTAAACTGACCATATATAATGAACCCCTCTTATGTCCACGAGCTATCACAAGATTTCCTTTGATAACCTTCCACTGCCCATTCCTGAACTTATCCTCGTGTCCCTGTTCATCCAACTGCCCAACAGAAATCAACTGTTTCTTCAGACTTGGAATTACCCGGACATCCTTCAAAGTCCATGGACCGACTGGAGTCTTCAGATCTAAGTCACCTATGCTCGTCACATCAAGAACCTCATCGTTCGCCAGTCTTACCTTACCAAAATCCCCTTCTTTCAGATTCCGCAGTGCTTCACGGATGTGGGTAGCGTGAAATGAAGCACCCGAATCCATAACCCAGGAATCCACATTGCTCTCCACATTACAGATCAAAACATCATCATCTGAATGGTCTACTGCAACGTTAACTTCTTTCTTGTCTTTTGGACATTGATTCCTGAAATGTCCAACCTCTTTACAGTTCCAACAAGTCACATCATTTCGAGTCCTCGACTGACTCCTTCTCCTGTTCCCGCTCCCACTACCTCTGTTATTTCTTCTACCTCTGACCGCATTCAATTGTTCACTTGATGATTCCCCGGAATTTCTTCGTCTGACGTCTTCGCCTAGAATTAAATCCCGAATTCCCTCAAAAGTGAGCTCTTTCGATCCTGCGGAACTAGTAACGGCTGTAACTGTTCCGGACCAACTGTCAGGTAATGATGATAACAGTAGTAAAGCTTGAACTTCGTCCTCAAATTTTATTCCCACTGACCAAAGTCTGGATAAAATCGAGTTCAAATTGTTGATGTGTACTGTAACTGAACTTCCTTCCCTCATCCTCGTGTTGACTAGTTCCCGAATCAGGAAGACTTTATTTGCTGCCGACGGCTTCTCGTACATATTAGACAATGCCTCCATGATTCCTTTTGCCGAGGTCTCCTTCAAAATATTGAAGGCAACATCCTTTGACAACGACAGTCTAATAAATGTCTTGGCCTTCTTATCCAAAGTCTCCCAGTTTGCCTGTGTCATCGCCTCCGGTTTTTCACCTAAAACTGCGTCCAAGTCTTTCTGTACGAGCAAATCTTCAATTTGCATCTTCCACCAACCAAAATCTTTCCCATCAAACTTCTCAATCTGAAGCTTACTGCTTTCTGCCATTTTCTGAAAGAACAATGACCTATCTTGCAATTTTCTGGAAATTCAGGGGCCAAATTGCAAATTTTCAAATCTGCTACAGTGTCTGCTGACGTCACTGCTGACGTCGTGCTACAGTTCCTGCCACAGTGTCGTCTTCTCCGGCGGACTGCTACAGTGTCTGGTGCTACAGTGTCGTCTTCTTCGGCGAACTGCTACAGTGAATCCGTCAGCTACAGTAACTTTGACCGGTGATTGTAGGAGCCTTCCGGTGGTCGAAAAAATTCAGAAAAAATTATTTTCGGAATCTGCGGAACGAGACCTTTCCAACAGTCTACACCAAATTCGTTTTTGAGAAAAAAAATTTCGACCAAAAACAGAAAATCACCCTCTGTAGCTAAACCAAGGCTCTGATACCACTTGTTAGGATCGAGACACTTAACACACGACTCTAAACACACACACAGCTCACGAAAAACAAGAACACAAGGATGAACACGAGGGATTTAACGTGGTTCGGTCCTTCTCTGACCTACGTCCACCGGTAACTAGGAATTTATATTTCTTGGTGCTAATCTGCACTCTTTCTGTGTTACTCTAGATACAAGTTTTACAAATACAGATGAATCTCTTATATAGAGATGGAAATCAGAAGTAGTCAAAAAACACAACCGGGTCTTCAGCCAACCTTTGAAAAAACTTCACATTCAATAATTGTGGCTTCACATTCAACAACTTACGCCATAGAATGGCCACAACCGAAAGAACTAAAATATCCTCAACATTACCAAGAAGTGTAACAAATTTCCATTTTGTGTTGGACCAATATTAGACTCTAAATAAGGCTACCTCGGTATAATGATAGATAAAGACTAATAAAAACATGTTCCAAATGTAGCTTCAAAATATACATCTGAAAATCTCATGCATAATACGTGATATGTTTTTCTTTCATATGCCAGAATTATCACATCTGACTAACCTCGAGGAGCTGGAACTAAAGAATACTGAGCTCAATGAAACACCAAATATCCAAGGTAAATGAAGATTTAGCTTCACCTAGCCATGGTAACTTGTGAATAGTGATAAAGACAAAGTTCATGAATGAATCGTAAATTCTTCCGTAATTACAAACTTTGCAGATGGTGTCTTTAAAAATTACCTTCCTTTTACAGCTTGTAAGAGCTTATCAAGATTGAAGAGGCTGGAGAGTATAGATCTTTCAGGCAACAAAATTCAACAAGAGCATCATATCATGCCTAACTGCCCTCCCGTCCCTCAAGATTCTTCATCTTTCAAATTCTCCTTCACTGGGAAGTTCCTTTCCTGTCCAAGGCATGTTCATTTCAAAACGAGTTTTCATTAAACAAACTAAAACATTAAATTCCAACTTCATTATTTTTATTTTTGTTTCCATTTTTTACTATTTTTTTAATAATTTTTCTACACATCTCTCTATTTAATACAGAATTTCATGATTTGTTTGATTTGGAAGTTCTCCTCTTGAGATTTAATGGTTTCAGTGGTACACTACCAATGGAAGGTAGCATTTTTTCTTCATTCCTTAATTTACAACATTATTATTGGTTTAAGAAAAATCGCCAAGTACTTGCCAACTCAGCACATAGATGAAAGTCCCCACAACTTATCAAGCTTCAACCATCGATAATACATAAATTGTAACAAATACTTTTTTAGGGTTTTTGTTTAGTAACCTATGTATGTAACCCTCTCTTGTTGGCATCCAGGTTTTGCATCTTTCCACCGTTTGGAGGTCTTAGATTTGAGTCACAACAGTTTTGTTGGGAGCATCCCTTCATCAATACAGGCATTATCTTCATTAAGAGCTCTCTCATTCGCTAACAATGAACTCAACGGCTCATTACCTGAGCATGGTAAGTTATCTAAAGCATGCACAATTAAGTGTTGGGATTGTTAAAAGAAATATATAAATGCAATGTCCTTGTAGTAAGATTGTAACATTACCTTTCCGAATAACCATGCAAATGAAGTCATTTTATTTCTTGTAGGGTGAACCACATTTTTTTATCTTTTGGCAGGTTTCTGTGAGTTGAACAACCTCCATGAATTAGATCTTAGTCACAACATGTTCGATGGAATTCTGCCTCAATGTTTCAACAGTCTATCATCTCTTAGGTTACTTGATATATCTTCAAATCGATTCACAGGGAAACGTGTGCCATCACTCATTGCTAATCTCACATCTCTTGAGTACATTGATTTTAGTCATAACAATTTTTGAAGGTTCATTCTCTTTCAGCTCATTCTCCAATCATAAAAAGCTTGAGGTAGTTCGATTCAGAAGTGACAATGACATATTTGAGGTGGAGACAGAGGAGCCTATAGATTGGATTCCAATGTTCCAGTTGAAAATTCTTGAGCTATCTAATTGTAATATGAAAATGCCTAAAGGACGTATTATTCCTGGGTTTCTACTTCACCAACACAATTTACGGCAAGTAGACATGTCTCACAACTCCTTGGAGGGACAATTACCAAATTGGTTAATTAGGAACAATTCAAATCTGGAAGTTCTTATTCTACGTGATAACTTGTTTGGTGGTATGCCGCTGCATATGAATGCTAATATGAAGTGGTTGGATGTGTCTCAAAATCACATGATAGGTACTATTCCATATGACATACCAAAGTTCTTTCCCAACATAAGTATTTTGAATTTGTCTATGAATGCTTTAAGTGGTGTTATCCCTTCCTCAGTTGGTGAATTGAGTAAATTATGGGTACTAGATTTATCTGAGAATGAGTTATCTGGTGAAGTGCCAAAGGGATTGTTTACAAACACCTCCAAATTGGGTTTCTTAAAACTATCAAACAACAAGTTGCATGGCCAGATACTCTCAGGAAATTTAAGTTGGAGTAATCTCCAATGGGTTTATTTAGATAGCAACCATTTCACAGGGCAAATTGGAATTAAAAGCAAACAAAAATTTGAATCTCTGACTCTTCTGGATATAAGCAATAACTTTTTTACAGGTTTGATCCCGGATTGGCTTACCAACATGAGTAGCTTGTCTGAACTTGTGGTGAGAAATAATAGTTTGGAAGGCAGGTTTCCTTGTGGAGCAGCTTTTTTCTCATTTCTTGATATCTCACAAAATTCTTTTTCTGGGCCCATCCCATCCTGCTCAAATTTGCAATATATGGAGCATCTTCATTTGGGTTCCAACAGATTCACTGGATCAATTCCCAATTTCTTTCGTAATTTGACTAATGTTTTGACTTTAGACATCGGCAACAACGACTTGTCAGGCATGATTCCTAAATTTCTTGGCGAACTATCCAATTTAAGGATTCTTCTTTTGAGAAAAAATAACTTTAGCGGTTTGATTCCGAGGCAGGTGTGTCAATTAAGTAATATGAGTTTCATAGACTTATCCGATAACTCATTTTCTGGCTCAATACCTAGCTGCCTACATAATATTACCGGCCCAAGTGACCTTGTTTTCTTAAAAAGAAGCAAATCACTGTATTCGTATGATTCCTCTTACCATTATGAGAGTATTATATGGGGGTTGCGTTCAATCTTCCTTGGAGGTGAAGCCTTGGGAATACAAGACGAAGTACAGTATACAACCAAAAGTCTCTTTCTCCGCTACAAGGGTGGCATCCTTGATTACATGACAGGATTGGATTTATCCAGTAACAGTCTTATTGGTGAAATTCCAGAAGAACTCGGGTTTCTAACCCAACTTCGTGCTCTAAACCTGTCTCACAATCAGCTGAATGGACCAATTCCTGTGAGCTTCTCAAATCTTGCAAAGATAGAGAGCTTGGACCTTTCTTCAAAACGGGTTGACCGGCACAGTTCCATCAGAACTCATTAAGCTTACGTCTTTGTCTATTTTCAATGTTTCTCACAACAATCTCTCAGGCAGACTCCCTGAAATGAAGTCACAGTTTGGTACCTTCACAGAGGAGAGTTATGAAGGTAATCCACTTCTCTGTGGACCACCATTGGAGAAGAAATGCACTACAAATTCACAGGTGACCAATCCATCAGTCGAAGAAGACCATGAGAAATGGTATGATATCAATATGACATATTTCTATGGAAGTTCTAGTTCGACATGTTTTGTGTTGTTATTGGGATTTGTTGCAATTCTTTACACCAATCCTTGGTGGCGTAGAAGGTGGCTAGACTGGGTTGAAGATTGTATGTATACATGTTACTACTTCCTTTATGATTTAGTATGGAAGCCTTCTATGATCTTCCGTAGGTAGGACCTCTTTAAGAATTTGTGATAGAATAAATGCAAACTTGTTTCTGTATGTATTCATATTTCTATGTTTTTGTATCTACTCTAATAAATAAAGGTTTTTTTTTCCACATGTCACACTCTCATTCAATTTGCCAAGTGTCACTTTATAGTTATTTTGAATTAATTTTTTTTTCACATATCATTTCATAAGTTTTTTCATTTTATTAATTTTCACATAATATTTTAATGTAATAATAACAATAATTTCATTAATGAACTTACCTTTTAATTTCAAAATTCTCAAATTAAAGCTTATTAGTTTCTTTTGTTTGTTTATTTAAATTATTTGTTTAAATTTAAAAGATAAAAATATTTCAATTATAATAATTCATTATTTTTCTTATTTTATTATAAATTCAAAGTTCTCAAATATCTTGACTTTTATATTTAACTTTTCTTTTAAATTAACTCATGTAATACATTGGTCTCATAACTAGTATAATTATATACGTCTGATGACACTACAACATTAACACCCTATGACGACGACAAATTCGGACCTATCCAGACAACATGTCGTCGGCATAGGCGTGTCGGCATAGGTCAATATTGTCGTCGGTATAGATGTCGTCGCCATAGCTACCCCTATTGCGACGATTTGGCGTCGGTACAGCTTTCGTCAATTATATTTTCGGTGGAAAAAATAATGTTTTATTAATTACCTATAGCGACTACATGTCGTCGTCGCAATAGGTTTACTCTATTACGATGACTAGTCGTCGCTATAGGTTTTTCACAGGAGTCGATTATATACCTATAGCGACGACATGTCGTCGGGATAGCTACTGGTTGTTTTTTTTTAGTTTTACAGATTTAATACATTACCATTCCTGCATTTTTAACAAATCCAAAAAACATTGCAACATATATCAATTGAAATACATTAACTAGGTACCTTTGTTCAAATCCAAAACATCAAATTCAAGTTTAATATTACAATAAGTAGTTAGCTAACATTGTTCAAAATACAAAAAAAAAAAAAAAAAAAAAACAAAAAAAAAACCATCAACCATCATTATCATAATCATATCCTTCTTTTTCTCCTTCTTCTTCCATCCTTTCGGCAACTTGTTGAGAGGTACTTGCTTGTGTGTTAGAGTTGAATAGAAAGTTAGGAAATGGTGGTGGTTGGAAGTTCGGAATACATGCGTCCAATGATGCATTATATTGTTGCAAGTATTCTTGCATTTGTTGTGCATCAAATTGGGATTGAGATTGGGGTTGAGATTAGGACGATTTGGAAATGGAAGGCCGTTCATTTGGAATTAAACCGAATTTGGCGGTTGGTCTCCTACCCACCCCGCGAGCATGCCCGTGTCTCGTCCCAAGGGCACCTTCTAAACATTCTTCATCGTCTACTTCTCCGCCTTCCCCAACCTCGTTTTGCATTTTCTCATATTCCTCTTGAATTTTCTCCTAAAATAAAGAAAACAATAAACATACGTTAATTAAAACAAACAACTAAACTTAAACATTAAAATAATAATAATATTCCTTAAACAAAAAACTATAATTAATAATAATAATAATAATATATTTAAACAACACATTCATTTCGTTTATCACTTACCCAATCTTCTTTTGCTCGACTTGTACACCAACCCGAACCTTCTTTGTAGCGCATTTGTCTCCAAACCTCAATATGTTGCGGCTTGATTCCCATTTTATCCTATAATAAGTGAAAAAACAATAAATATATTTATACAAATGTTAATAACACTTTTACATAATACTAATATATTTTATTACCTCTAAATGATGTCGTTGAGCATAGGATCTACATCCGTGAGCACTTGTGTGCGGAAGTTTCGACCTACAAATTTTATTTTTGACCGACGCGCGTTTGTATTCATCGGTCAAAAATAACAAATCAATCATTTTGTTCCAAGCTTCGGCGGTCCAATCAGTCGGTGGACATCTTCTTGCTCTTTCCACATTATGATATACACCAACTCTATCAAAATGTTTTTTTATCTGATACTTGCGCTCTTGATAAGCTCTTTGCATATCTGCTTGGATACCCGCTCGAAGGGGTTCCCACAAGTCTGTGCCCCGATACCTATTTAGATCAAAATAAGTCTGCAAAAGGAAAAACATATTTGATTAGTAAAAAAATATCTAATAAGTGTAAAATTCAATACATATAAAATATATTGCATACTTACTTCTAGCTCGGGATATAAATTATCTTTGTACTTGATAGGAACACGATGCCAAGTATGATAATGCAACGGTACCTGCGATCCCACCAGATTTGAGATCAGTCTGACAAACATTTGCCCGTTGTCCCCCACAAATCGATACGTCCACCCGGAGATATCAATTCCCAAATCCAAAGGCTTACGATTGTTATTTTCATACTCATTGTACAAATTTAAGTTTCTCCCTTTGCCACGCTTATTCACATTCACATTCTTCGCTTGTGCTAGATTTACATATAGAATTGGAAATTTAGAAATTTAAAACTTTAATATATCTAATACTTAAAAATTTCATGTAACTTACAAGATTGGCAACCTGATGGTACACCGCGTGCGGCCCTGTGTGGTGGTTTATCCCCACCGTCTCCTCCATGTCCCCTTGCGACTTCTGCCATCTGTTTAACAAATATTATAAACATTCAAAATATATAATAAAGCTACTTAAAAATAAGCAACATTTGAAAATTTAACAAATATTATAAGCAATCAGGATATATAATAACTACAACATACCGTCAATCAGACTCATCACTAGAACAATATACATGTACAACATCATCATCACTGTCATAGTTTTCATTATTTATTTCTTCATCCGAAGAGTACGTATCACCATCGTCATTGTCATCGTTAATTAAATCGTCATATGTATTTTCTTCACACTACAAACAAAATTACATTTAGTGGCACAAGTTTTTAGTGGCATATTTGTTTTTGTGCCACCATAATAGGTTTTTAATGGCACATAATTTTATATGCCACTGTATCATGTTGAAAATTCTAATTTTTGTTGGCCGCTAGTTATTTTCCTTTTAATTTTCATTTCCCGCTCCTGATTCCCTCCACCAAAAGCGTTGCACATACCCATTTTAGCTTCTAGGTCAAAACTCAAAAACACATTTGAAATTTTGGATCCCCTGAAATAAAAATCCCTTCCAATTTCCAAAACCCCCGTCGCCCGTGTGTGTCATCTCGTTGTTCGTAGCTTGTTAAATCTCGGCATCTCGTCGGTTGAAGCTCGTTTCAGATTAAATCTTTCTCGGTATATCGTCGTCGATTGAAGCTTTCCATATCTTATCAACGATTTCATCTTGTTTTTTTTTGCCCCTTAAACAGGTACGATTTCAGATCCCCGACATTCATCTCCAACCCCGTATCTTGAGTTGTTATATTTCCATGGAAAATGTAATCGAAAAATCCCCGACAGTTCCCAAATCCGGGTTTCCCATTTCCCATTCGGTCTAGTTGCCATGCTACTAATAATTTGAAGTGTACTCTCAGTTCTCCCATTACGTAATTAATAGAGCTTACTTTTAGGAACTTGACTTAGCCCGGATTCATCTTGCTTTCTGCCCCTTAAACATGTACGATTTTAGATCCCCTGCATTCACTTTGTTGACTTTCACAGTAAGTCAAGCAACTATCGTTTGAAAATTTAGTTGGGTGGTTTTTCTGCATTGACACGTTTCTAATACCCAAAAATGTAGGATTTAGGCAGCAAGTGGATACTTTTGACTCTAATTCCAATAGTTGAATTTTTACAGCCTCTAGTCCTACGTCACCTAAGTTTTGGCTTCCAAGGGCCTTTTGTGCTTTTTCAAGAACTCTTTGTAAGTATTTCCCATGTGTTTCTATGCATAACTGTAAGTGTCTCTGTGCCATGAACAAATACATTTTTAGAATCTTCCTTTGTACCTCAAGTTGCTCATGTAGCCTTCTTTGAACTTTAATTTGCATATGTATTGCTTCACTTATCTATAAGTTTCTGAATGGACATTTGTATAATTAGAAATTTAAAATCAACATTTGAGTGTATACATATGTAAAACTGAATAAATATATCTTACTTGTTTGGTTGAGGCCAAACACTTGAATTGCTCATTTACATATGTAAAACTGAATAAATATATCTTACTTGTTTGGTTGAGGGCAAACACTTGAATTGCTCATGTGGGTTCCATTTGTTTCACCATTGGCATCTCCTGCTGGTGCAATCATACCTACAACCAGAATGTTTCCTATCATGTATCAAATTATTTTCTACTATAAATTGTCACAAAACATCTTAAAATGGATTCTTGGATTTCTTACCAACTTTATTTGTGGCACCACTAGTATTTTTCAAGTACAGATTTTTACTGTGCCAGTAATTTTGCTAACCAAACATGAAAATTACTTAAGATTCATGCAAAACATGTTAAAAGGAATTCTGATCGAAGGTTTTCTCAGATAAATTTAATTGTTGTTACAGTTCACGTGAAGCTTTTTTGGTGTGCTCAATTCCCTCAAAAGTCACATCTGGTGGTATTCCTGCTAGCCTCTCATTTTTGGACATATGAATTGGCCATTATACCCTTGGGTTTGTCTTTGCATATCTTTATTTTTGAAGTTTATCTTTTGAGGTTGTTTGGTGTTTTTTAGTTGTTTCTCTTTGTAATCAGTGTATTCATTTGGTCCAGAGCATTGAACAAAGGATCGACCCTGCTTATAATTAACAGATACATCCTGACGTTTTTTTATTGATTCTCTTTTTTTGTGGACATTTTTACCCCTGGCTCTGGTATGAAGGTTTTCTCATATAATTTTTATTGTTGTTGACTTGACCATTATACCCATGGCTTCTACAACTAATTTTCCTTACTAATCTTAGCATAAAACAATATCATACATGTGTTATGTTCTTTAGATTCGTTGTCATTATAAATAATGTATTCATAACCATTTTATGTTATGTGTTGCTTATGTATTTGTTAGGAATTAA